CCTGAATAGCTAAAAGTGTTGCCCCTTTACAGCGTCAAACTGTTTGTAAATAGAAGTCTTTTCATTAGATCAGCTTATACTACTGGAAAAATCAGAGTTTTCAAGTTTTCAAGCCTGTAAGGCCTTTTTCAGATGCATCTGCTTGCATCAGTAGATGTTGCAAGTATTTTTACTTTCAGTACAGTGGGTCCTGCCTGAAGCACTACCCAATTCTCAAAAATAAACCAATGGCATCACAGATATCAGTTTTTCCACTGAAGAAGTCTTGATTAATTTTTCCCACTATACTACTTCACCTAGTTTAAAGAAAAAAATCGAAAAGAGTGTCCTGTCTTTATGCTTAGACAGTGATCACTACAGCAAAGAACAATTTGCCCTGTCATACCACTTAGTACTGTGAAGTCCTCGTTCTCATGTCAGTCTCACTGTTGTGTAAAGATTCCAGTTGCAGCTATGGGTATTTGTTTTTAATTAAATGGAAATTTTGTTCTAGATTTAGAAAAAAATCCCATAGTTATGTATTTTTAACCAGGTGCATTCTAATGTGTTTGTTTCCCATAAGCATAAAACTTCTCTAAGACTCTCATATTTTTAAATTTTACCAAGGTAATTTTTTCTGTGTATGTATGATGTATGAATAGAACTTCATTATACAAGTGAAGTCAGTCTGCCATAACTTTACAGCAGCTCACAAATACTTTGACATTAAATTTAAATTATTTTATCTTTACTGGAAACTAATCCAGAGAGTTGATGACTTTACAATGGTAATTTCTAGTTTTTCTTCTTGAGTGTGCCTTGATAGATAATCTCCAACTTGCCAATTAATACTCTCAGAATAATCTAGACACTTTACTGAAAAAAGAAAATATGGTTGCTCTTGAGAGTACAGGTATGTGCCACACGAGAGTTTGCAGATGTGTGCAGCATATGAACTTCAACCAACCGCCTCTTTAAAAGTTAATCATAGAAGTTATGGAATCTAGGAATATCTTTTTATTCTCCTTATGGAGATGTTGAAACTGCTTAGATTTACAAAATGAACAATATCAGAAAAATCACTTCGAGCCTACCTTGTAGATTACAAAGAATGTGAATACAGTCGTGCTGTATAGAAACAGTAAGGATGAGGCGATGATCATGAAGATGAGTTTTCCATTGCTGTGCTGCTTCTTCGCTCCTTTATTAAAAGTGAGTGTTAGAATAAAGGACAGTTCTTCTGATTCACATAATTTTCTTAAGATTCTGCATCTCAGCCCCCTTTCTCTGAGGAATTAAAAAAACCTTACACTCATCAATATTTTCTGGTTCATTTTCAGTCTAAATTCCTTAGTGAGATCACTTTTGTTTCCCTGAATGTTTGCAAGGGCAATGGAGACTTGTTATTTTTTATTATGAAGCCCTCCTTTAGGGGTAGACAGAGAATACAATCCAGTTTTCTGCTCTTGTAAAGGAATATTTGAATAAAGCTTACAGGCTTTTGTTCAGAAATGCAATTAGATGGAGGAAGGAATGAATACAGGGAAAGTAATAATTCAGCTAGGTTGTGGGTTGTTGGTTTGGGGTTTGGGTTTTTTTTTTTTTCCCTATTTTAGGCATGTAAAACTGAAATGTAGTTAATGAAGTCTCATCACTTTCCTAACTAGAAGGGGAATGATACAAAGGTTCAGAACGAAAACTTTTTTCTCAGGTTGGCACAGTGAATCCCCAGTTCTGAGACCCTGTACTCTGTTGCATGTATTTCCACTGAATGTCAGTTTCTATACTTCTCCTTCTTCTGTTGATACTTCCTTTCTGACAGCCATTAAAGTCTTCATGTAAGAGGATGTAGAGTATGGTTAGATAACACGAGTACAAAACTTCTTTCTTTTGTAGAATTCTAGTCATGTGCATCATATGACAGAACAGTCTAATTAGCAAATGAGGTTAAGATGCTTATTTGTAGAATCCCTCCATGGTTTTACTATTAATGTTTTAATATAATCATACTATTCCTAATGGTTTTGTTGGTATTTCCATCTTAAATGCCATTCTTGAACATATAAAGAGAGTATTTAGGAAAGACAATTTATTTCTTTTAAGATGCTTCATTAAGAAGGAATGATGAACTGACCTGTTTTTGTTAGTATTGTTCCATCTCCTGTTTGTTTAGAATGGGGTGAACTTGAATCTGAAAATGCTATTCCACAGATATAAAGAGCATTGTCATCTACAGTCAGACCATTGATCTGAAGTGAAATGTTATTTTCTGGTAGTAAATGTACTTTGTACTTTTGATGATCTGTGCATTCAGGAGTACACAAATCCTCATGTTCATTAGTTAAAAAGCGAAACCATAGAACTTGAGGTGGGGATGAGGGGCATCCAGAGGCAGAGAAAACACACGTTAAGAACACAGTGTGCATGGAGTAGTCAGCTTCCTGAAATCTGGGTTGTGTTACAGTGACTTGGCAGGTATCTGCAGCACCTGTTGAGAATAAAAAATTGGTAATGTGAAGGACAGTTAAAAAGCAAAGCACAATCTAAAAAGAAAGTAAGCTGCTTCTGGTTCACTCGAGAAAAGGTAGGAGGAAAGGAGGAATACCAACCACGTTCCAAACTGGAAAGGTTTGTTTTCAGCAAACTTTTTCTTTCAATAATTCCTACAGTTTGCCCATGTGTTCATTTCACAGTTTCACCTGCATGGTAATGTGCTTAGCTTTCTGTTTTTCTGAAAAAGTAGAGACGATTTGTATATCTGAAATAATTTGAATGTCTCCTCTGGCGCTGGAGAAGACCAAAAGAATACTTTGTGTAGTTCCCTGCCTCAGATTTAGTCTTGAGTGTTTTGGGGATTGGGGCGGGGGCTAGTGGGCAGTGGAGGGTTGGGTGTTGTGTGATATTGGATGCTCGGTGGAGTAGTACTGCAAGGGTTTCTCTCTCTTCCACTGTCCCTGATCTGAGTCAAGTCAGACAGCCTGATGGCAGGCAGTGGAAACATCGTAAACAGAGACATTCATAATTTAGCAATTTCATAGCATCGATTAGAATTCATAGTAGTTCCTAGGCGTTCTTCCACTTTATCACATACATTGACTCTGGGTTTCTAAGGATAATAATATTGCTTGTTAGTTCTGACGTTTAAAAATGTGCGCAGAGAAAATAGGAAGGTTAATCGGAGAAGAAAATTCTAATTAAGGAACTGAAATTTAAGGTTTAGTATGACCAGTCTGGGATATTTTTTTAAGTCTTTATTGAAATCCATAATTTAAATACTGGTTTAATATATTTAATGTTATTCAAATAAATCGCTTAGATATTTAAACAAAGGAATTTACATTATTGCAGTGAAAATGAAGGTAGTAGCTTAACAGCATCCTTGTCTACTGACTAGAAGATAACGAATTAGAAGAAAAATAAACTGAAGTCTCTTAATCTACTGCTGAGACACAATTTATAAGCCTGTCCATGGTGGACAATCAGCATTGTCCCTTCATCATTTTTATTACTGAGTGTTTTATGGACCAAATCCAAGCTGATTCAGTGTCTGTGACTTCTGCAAGAATAAAATGAAACTCGACTTCTGTGTCAGATCAACATCAGAGCTGTTCCGTAGCAGCTACAACAATCTGAAGATTGTAGTAATACAAGTTGTTGGTGTACTTGCACCCTGTGTGGTGAAAGGCAGTAGCTTGTGCTTCTGCAGATGATCCCCTTCTCTTCCACCTTACTCCAGGGCTCTGGCTGGCCTTGCAGAGCAGACCTCCATGGCTGCGGTTCATGTAGATAGTGTCTGCTGAACTTCCCAAACCCTCCTCCCAAACAAGCAGAGCTGCACTGAAACTATGCTGCTGCTGCTGGAGCATTCTTTGCAGGGAAGTGCAGTAGGCTTTGACTCAGAAATCATAGATTACAGGAGCATTTCAGACTTCTGGAAGAAAAAGCATTTGCTAACAGTTGTTTAATTTGGAAGTTGTATGAAGATAGCAGAAATTAGCTTGATTCTCAGCAAAACTTTATACTGTGCTCTTTTTGTGGCTATGTTGTAAATCATAACTGCAACATTTTCAGTCCTGTTTAACTGTTACTACATGGGAAAATAGAAGAAGCTTAAAAAAAGTCTTACCAGCACTGTACAGAATCCAGTCAAATGCCAGCATTAGCACGTTTTTTAATTTGTTGAAAGATGCCATTTCTTGTATCTCTCTGGAAATGATTCTGCTTGAATGAAGGGGAACTGAGGAAATCTTTGGAGTTGCAGAATGCTTTGAATCACATGATTTAGAACTTCCTGTTTAGAAGAGTGTTTACTACTGCGTTTAGCAAACTGTTTAAAGGTACAGACCAAACCAGAAAAGATTTGTCATTTATGGATGACATTACTTGGAAAATGACTGAAGAGTTTTTTAAATTTTAAACTTCTGAGAGTTGTACTTATAATCCTTCAGATTATTTAATTGGATATAACAAATGACAACACATTTTCCAGCATGCTACAAGTGTTTGGCTTCTTAATTTTGTATGACCCTAGGCAGTCTTTACCGTATTAGCTAGTAGGTGGCCGCTGGAGGAACAAAGAATCTGTAGCCATCCATTATAACGCGGTTGTCTACTGATGGAAGCTTCACAGCAAATCATAATAACTTGCTGGCTCTATTTACTGTAATTACCTGAAGCCCTCTTTGGCCAGACAGTGGCCAAAAGAATAAAGAAAGAATTTCATATGCGGAAAAGATCTTCAGTCTGTCCATGTCTGCTGAACACCAGCCTCACTAGTGGAAGTTACTTTTCAGCCAGTCTTGGAACCGCTAGTTAAAAATGTAACAAAAGATAACCTTAAGAAGGAGCTGCTTCTGAAAAATAGGCAAAAACTTGACCTGATCTTGCAACAGCTCTCCAAATGGCTTGTCAGCCTCCTGTTTGGAGTGGAATGGAATATAATCTGTGTAAAATGCTTTCTGTAAGAAAATACACAATAAAGTTTTCTTTATAATGTAAGCAAAACTGTTTTGTTTTCTCAGTAGGTGGCAAGTGGGAAAAACCCTCAGAAGTTCTGGAAATCAAAGGGCACACTTGGGAAGAACAGGTGAATAGCCTGCCAGAAGTTTTCAGTAAAGCTGGTTTTGCCATAGAGGCTTTCACCAGACTGCCATACCTATGTGAAGGTGATATGTACAATGACTACTATGTACTAGATGATGCTGTCTTCGTCCTCAAGCCAGTGTGAGCGTGTATGAAGTAAATCTCCAGAATCTAACCCAAGAAGCAGCCTCTGAAAGAGGGGTTTGATTTATGGTTACTTAAAGGGAGGGAATTTGGGAATTGCCATGCTAAATAAATACCATGTAAGAAATTTAAAGGCCAAAATACTAATGTATTTCTTTGTAGTATGATTAGGAAAAAAAGGTTGTTTTTTAAACGGACTCTTCAGTTGAGAATTTCTTTTTTACCAGCTCTTAAACCAACAATGCATTCTGCAGTCCAGCAGTAACGGGGGATATTTTTTTATACTTACCTGCAACAAGGATCAGATCCAAACAAAGCAATAGTCCTAACAATGATGAAACTGATACAATGTGAACTGTTGTTAAAGAAATCAAGTGAAATCTGGCAATAAAGTTATCCATTCAGTTCCAGCCTTGTTGAATATAAACTGTTGAAATGGGTGTTCTTCCATGCTAAGTTACTTTTCTCTATTACTGTAATTATTCACATGTTTTTAATCATGCTAATAAACTTTTTTTGAGATTACCTTTTGCATTAACTTTTGTGTTCATTTTTGTAACCATAGCCATGCTTGTCTGCAACTGCTCTTTGTGTTGAGAATCAAGCTCTCAGTAGCATCACAACCTTGTGTTTACTTGAGCAGCATTTAAGTGTTGTTTAAAGGGATAACAGTCCACAAGAAATTTATCGCTTTTGGTTGGGTTTCCTTCATGTTCCTCTCAAAGCCTCATAAATCCTCATTGCTTTTGCCATTTTCCAGCTAAAGGTGTTATGGTAGAACTTGCCAAAACTGCACTTTAAACTGATGGGTTTAATAACAAACTTTCTAAGCAAGTTGTTCCCAAAAGTTTTCAGCTTAAAAAACTTGCAGGCAGTTTCTTGCAAATTTTGTGAGTCCAACTGCCTCTGAGGATCAGGCTATAGGCACCTGATCTTTAACGTTTTGCTAGCTAGGGACATTTTCTTCAGGAACACTAAATAAATGCTATTTATTTTAACATGTCTTGTTTTTAAAAAACTCTGTTTAAAATGGATAATTTCTGGCAGTTGGGATGAAACCTTCCTTTAAAACAACAAGCGGCATCATAAGTAGTATGGAACTGGCAGGCGTGTGCATTGTGTTGCTTGAGATGCAAGTGTTGTGAGAGAGCGCAGAAACCTCAGCTCGTATATCAGCTGGTAAGTAAAGAAGAACTGACTTTATCTTTTGCTTTTGAAGTCTAAAGAAGTGCGTTGTGTTTTTTTCGTGATTGGTGTTCTTATGCCAGGTAGGATGCTTCGGCATGTCTTGTTAGATTTGCCTTGGCCTCCCTTTGCCTGATGGTTAGTGATTTCTCCTGCTAATTTAATAGCCTTTTATTCTCTATTATTTATCTTTGTGGAATAGTAAGTGTTCTGTAGTATGGGGTGAGGGATTTGACTGGTGTGGGTTTTTTTCAACAGTAATTCAGGCTCAGTATTATTCTCATTTCAGCATGTGCTGTTGAATTTTGGCGTGGAGTACAATCAGATTTGTCTGTTGGAAGAATGAACTGTGTATGATCTGGAGTGAATCCATACATTTTTGGTTTGTTGCCTTCATTTGTACTCCTCTGTTAGTGGGGAAAATATGTTTCTTAATCTGTAATGATTTTAGCTTCATGTAGCAGATATGTAGTAAGACAAACTTCCTCAAAGATCCTTCAGTGTTTTAATCCCACAGGTTAAAAATCACACAAGCAACTATGCACTTCACTTCTCATATCTTTTAGTCCTGTCACTTAGGACTTTGGTTTGTAATAGCTTTGAGAGGTGTTAGGACAGAAGGTGCAATGTAAATAACAGCGTTGGTTTTTTTTCTTATGATTTCCTATTTTGTTTCCTCTATCTAAACAAATATTCTCGCACTTGAGATGCGGAATTGAAACACTTATTAAAACATGAGCAATAACAGGAAAAAGCTATGATCGGAGTAAGCTTAAACTCAGCAGGGTCAAAAACCTGCTTAGTCCTGTTGAACGTACAGAGTAGCCCCAAAGGACTGTACTTACCTTATACTTCTAAAATCAGTTAATCAGTTTCTTGTGAAGGAAGGGGCGCATTGTGCCAGGGACAGGATTCTTTCTCCTTCCAGACCTTGAGAGCGCATTTGTGTGCGGTTAATGTCTGCTCACACAGCCCGTGCAAAGAAACTCTTGAGTCCAGTAGTTGATTAAATTGCCTAAAATACTTCAAGGTGTCATCCAGGGGACAAGTGTTTGTTGCAAGTCCAATGTCCAAACTCATTACTCCCGGGCTTGGGGAACCTGCCTTGTCCCTCTGCTGTCTCTGTCCTGCTGTGGGTGACAGCGTGCAAGTCGCACTTCGGTGATCTCACTAATGTGCAGTGTTTTGCCCTGGAGAGTAACTAAATTATCTGTTCTGTCAAGGTGGCACTGGATGTGTTGCATCGCGGGAGAAAGATGCTGTACAAGGGCACGATTTTGTCGGAAACTTTCAACACAAAGTTGGAACAACTTCGTCTCACAGAAACCACAGCCCCCTTTTGCTGGGTAGTCCCAGGTACAGTCGGTTCGTATTCTGCCCCGAGGAGCCCAGGGCCGCCTGCCCGGGCTCGGGGTGGGGAGGTGGGTGGAGCAGGGCGCTGGGCAGCGCCAGCCTGGCCCTCTGTGTTTCCCCCACGCAACTCGTTGAGCTCTCTTCATCTCGGGGGGGGAGCATCCTCTTCTGCCTGCCGCGCGAGTCCCTCGCCCTCGAGCTCCCCAGCAGAGGGGACTTTCCCCCCACTCTGGCTGCGGGCTGGGTGCTGCTGGGCAGACACCTGAGGCTGCGAGGCGGTGCTGGCCCCGGCCCCTGCCCCTGCTCTTGGGGTCCCTGGCCGGAGCCGCCCAGCCCACTGCACTGCGAGCGCGGGGAAGGAGGCGCACACAGCGGAGGCAGGTAAAGTGCCGTAGCATCCTGGCTTTCCCCAAGAGCCCACCATCTCTTTCTTCTCTTCTGCTCTCCCCTTACTTCCCTCTCTCCAGCCTGAAGCCCTTGAGGGTTCCCTCACTGCATATAGGGCTTTTTTTCAGAGGTGCTGAGAGCCCAGCTGCAAGGGGGAGGACGGGCACTGGCGGTGCAAGGGCTTATCAGCAAGACTTCTGATTATGAGGTTAGCTTTCTGGTTATCAAGCTTGAGATAAGGCAGCAGCTGCATCAGAGTGAGTGAT